TATATATATATATATATATATATATATATATTATATATATATGTATATATGTATTTATATTATTGGGAACAACATTATCGGACTTCGTCATAACGGCACTGATTAATAATTTCCTTTCTGTGGCATACATAGGACCAGCCGGAAGTGGCGAGTGCTGCCATGGGCGTGCTTGCCGTGGTACTCAGTAAGTTGTGCGTGTGCTTGAAAATATACGTAGTGTAAGTGCACAGTCATCTGATGACAACGTATCCCGTACTCTACCTAGAGCTCTGTCGTCTCATGTATATATACATATATTGCTTGTACCTGTTATGGCTGACTAGCATGTATTGGTGAGTGTTTCATAGTGAGAAATATACTTATGCATTGCTCTCGCATCTCTCTGTTTACAAAAGGCACTCATCTTGTCAAACTCTGCTTTATACGACTACATCGCTACTCGGTAGTTTTGTAGCACTCAGTACTATCGGGGGTTTAAATTGTTTGCTGGATTGCAGAATGGTGTGTGTTTTATTCGACGAGTATCGACACAACGCAATAGAGTCTTAGCGTAGGGCCATGGCATAATATCGACACACCGACGAGTGCGGGGCCTTATTGCAAGAGACTCTTAACCTAGAGCAACGTGCTACTATCGACACATCCAGACACCAGTTAACAAAAGCCGACAGCAGGTCTACGAACACATGTGTAGTCTGCACCCGATCCTTCACGGACACACATCTTCATTCTCTCCCCTCAGAACCCTCAGCTAAAGGCGCCCCACCCCGAGATGATGTGGGACAAGCGGCCATACAGTTAATACTGGACAATCAAGACAACCGAGACGTCTTGATCAACGGGCTGCGCCTGATCGTCACAGTGTGCATTATACAAGGTACTGCTTGGCGTGAACGGCTATATGACAGTTGATGTCTATACCTTGGCTATACTTTGTAGTATATCTGCCGTGTATAGTCGTGCTCACCAATTCATGCATCGCTGGAACGCGTTCGCCAAGTCTTTAAGTGAATGGTGGGGTCGACGTTCTCACAGTGTATGGAGCTGTAAGTGCGCATGCCTATGAAATCATTTACGTTTTCCTATGTTACTTTAATCGCGCGCTCATGGGCTCTGTTGTGAATGCTTGATCTAGTTGTATCCTCTACATACCTCTTTCCCTGCATAAACCTTATATTCGGCGTGAATATACTGCAATACGTTAAATCGGTTCGCACAATTTCATTGAAGAATTGCCCATCAGTATATGCTGGGATAATTTATAGAGACAAACACGGGTAGGATATAATAAGAATTGGAATAAAACGTTACATGAAGAGGAAGCAAGTATAGGGTATATGTGCACCTTATCATATTTTATGTGACGGTGGCATCTTATTCGCGAGCTTACATAGCACGACCTTTTGACAGATGGGACCTGTCAGACCATACAACGTCCAGCAAACTACTAATCATGTATTCAACTGTCAGCACATGCAAGTTTAATTCTGTTTTTTTATTTCATTCTTACTCTTATATCTTTTAGTACTGATAAGAGTAGCTATTTGCACTAGTGGTGGTAATTGATTTTGTTTCCATTCTAATTGTACAACTTTGATGTGGCAAGTAACTTGACCGGATTGATTGTTGCGCACACTCACGCATGTCCACACAGAAGCCCATGAGAGTCTCTTCGAGAATGATGAGATATTCAAGGTTCTCGATCTCGCATTTGAGTCAAAGGACCGGACAGCTCAGGAGGAAGCCTGCAGGACGATACAGAAAGTCTGCAGCACCGCTTCGGGTAACCATAGCAACTGCCTACGTGTGCGTGTCTTTGTGTAAAATGGACAAGAATGCAATAGCTAATATAAGCACATACGCTGTCTCTTTTCGAATTTGACAAAAATATTAGTGTGCCGTGAATACGTTACGTTCTGAGAAACAAACCCCAACCACAATGGTTGTGGTATCGGTTGACGTCACCATAGTCTATTTATATCTGTCTCCATTTGCACTTCCCATAAAAGCATATAGCGAGTCGGAATAGTGGTAACGGTTGACATCATCAGAGTCTATTTATATCTGTTTCTCTGTGCACTTCCTACAAAGGCACATAGCGAATAAGAATAGTGGTATCGATGGACGTCATCAAAGTCCATTTGTATCTGTCTCTTTGTGCACTTACCCTAAATGCATATATCGAATAGAGGCACCGTCTGACTTTCAGTTACAATACTTGAATACACTCACTATAGCGGACACTCGTGGTATATTACTCGACCACGGCTACCATGTTCGCGTGCTGTTGATGCTGAGGGAGCTGGAGTCACCGGAAGCCTTAGAGTGTGCACTTGGGGCTCTGGCCAATCTCGCACACAAGAATGGTAGGTAGACGTATCAATTTTTCTGTCAGATTTTTTTCGTGGGTATTTTTATCGACTCGATTCTACGCAGAAATGTAAGTCTCACACAAGTGGATGCCAAGTGACAACCTTGTCCGCCGATGCTATAGAACAAACTGTACATGTTACTCTCAAGACAATACCCACTTGCAACCTTAAGCATCGGAACAATTAGTACCAAGCGACATGCTCATGTGCTCATACAACTCAAAAAAACCATGACCAATATACCTTCCAGGATTAGTATAATCTAATCACAAGAATATAACTCGTGATGTTTGCTACAGAACGAAATGCAGAGTTGATTGATGTTGGTGCTATTGATGGAATCCATACCATCGTCAACGATAATTTCGACGAGCAAGGAGTGGTCATGAGGGGTGTTGGAGCACTACTAAACTTGGCAGTGTTTGGTATGACTTACAATATGTAGTGTGTGTGGGTAGTTGTATTTAACCTCACAGTTTTTATATATCATACACCGTTTATTCAATTTATCTATATACATATATAGATAG